TGGTCCAGCAGCAGGGCCCCTCGCCCGGCACCCCGGGCGCGCCTCCCCCGCCGCCAGCCTGACACCCCCGAGATTAACGACATTTATGTCCTTAAAGAGTTGGCAGAAGTGCCCCGGCGACCGCCGCGCCCCCGCGAGGCCCCCCTCACTCCCCCGCCCCCGGCGCTACCCCCGCGCCCCGCGGCGCGCCGGCAGCGGCGAAACGGCTTACGAACGGAACAGCAGAGAAAGACGAGTTTGTTACGAACGAGCGAGCAAAACGGGCGTGACGAGGAGAGACAGAGAGGGATATAGAGGGAGCGAGAGAGAGGGGGAGAGGGGGGAGCGAAAGAGAGAGAGAGGCAGAACGCCCACGCGGGTGAGAGAGAGCGAGAGAGGGAAGGTGTGAGTGAGTGAGTGAGCGAGTTAGAGAAAGATGGCGAGCGCGAAAGATAGCGAGAGAGTGAGAGGGAGGGGCTGGCGGGCGCGCGGGTTGGTGGGGGCGCCGCGCGGATCGATTTACATGGCGTGGCGCGGCGCGGCGTGCGGGGGTGGTTGCTGGAGGGAGCAGGGAGGGTGGCTGGCGGGCTGGAGCGGCGGCGGCGGCGAAGGGGGCGCAGGGCGCAGCGCCCTCGGGGTGGACCCCAAACTTCCCGGAACCTCCCCCGCGTCGCGTATCGGTCCTCTGGTCTTGGTCCTGCGCGCGGCAGTCGCACGTCCACGTCTCGGACACGGCCCTCTCCAGCGGTGGCGGTGACCCGCCGTTGTTGCCCCCTGGAGCTGGAGGAGCCCAGGTCCGGCGGTCCGGCGGTCCGGCCCTCTGGCAGCTGCGGCGGCGGCGGCCGGCGGCGGTGGCGGCCGAGGTCTGCCCGAGCAGGGCCCCATGCCGGCACGTACTCGCGGCCAGGTGCGCCGCCGGGCCCAGCTGCGCCGGAGTGCCGGTGAGCCGCACTGGGCCCCACCACGGAGCAGAGAGTCCCTTGTTACCACCGTCCCGCATGACAGAGTGCGGCCCGGCCGAGCCGCGAACCACCTGCCGGGGCCCGGGGCC